CTGTATCACCCTAGAGGGGTGGGATGGGGAGGAAGATGGGAGGGAGTTTCAAAAGGGAGGGGATACATGTATTCCTCTGGCTGATTCATGCTGAGCTTTGACAGAAAACAACAAAATTCTGTAAAGCAGTTATCCTTCATTAAAAAATTAATTAATTAAAAAAATATATAGGGCAGATCCCAATCTTTACATTATATCATTCTTACACAATTGTGTGTATCTCTCTTTGTACATAGGTCATCTAATCTAAGTGTTAAAGATTCCTTAATACTGCAAGTTAAATATATTTATTAATGCATATAAGATATATATGCCCATTAGGCTTGTTAAATATGTTCAATAATATTTCAAAATACAATTATCTTGTGACTTTCTGAGCCAAACAATTGGCAAATTTCCCTAGGGAAGAATGAGCTGAAAGGTATAGAAAGTGGTATTCTCACCAAGTGAAAAGGTGATTTGTTAGATCCCTTAACATACAATGAGAAAGCTCTCACCGTCTCAATGAGATCATCTGCTCTGTTGGTTCGTTCAGCTGACAACAGAGTTTGATTGAAGTCTTCTTTTCTGCTGGTATTCTGTGACAATCCTCCAGATTGGCTACTGCAATACTAAGAAGTATTTTTAAAAAGCAATGTGTCAGAAAATATCACAGTAGGCAGCGTTTAAGGTGGCTTCAGTGTATCTAAGAGATTGTGAGCAAAGATGTGTAGTTGCTGTAGTATGCATAAATATTTTCAAAAATCAGAATATAGCTTTGAGATAGAAACCACTTTTCAGTTAATATGAGAAAAGAATCAACTATACACATCTCATTTTCCCACAAGTCTATGAGGCTGTAGATGCTCTAAGTTCATTGTGGAGAGCTGTAGAATTTATGAATTGATCTTGGCGGTCCCTTTCTTAAATCCTGGAACAATTTACAAAACAAACCAACAACCACTGAAAGCATGTATGATCCTGGTCAAAGCATTCATTCTATGATTTTATTACTTGTTCAGAGCCTCTTTATCTAAAATACCATTTTGCTAATGTAGGTAATTCAGTTTCTTTCAGTCATTCCTGTTAAGCACTGTAACAACCCCCCAAAAATGATAATAATAAATTAACATATCCACCCATCAACACAGAGATTTTACATCACTCTAGAAGCCAATTTAGATTTATAGAAAAGTTAACAATAGACCTAAAATAAATGGCATTTCCCCCTCCTTATTCTTTCATTTTGCATGTAAATTTCTTTATGTGAACTATGTGTGATTTTTAATCCAATCAGAAGCTGGGACTCTGAGATAGAGAAAGAAAAGAGAAAAGTACATAAGAGAGGAAAGGTGTGGTACAGAAAATGTAAGTGTAGCCAATGATTATTTCACAAACTCATTAAAAAAACAGACTGATTTTTTAAAAATCTGCAGAGCTAACATACATTTAAAGTGCGCGCGCGCACACACACACACACACACACACACACAACCACCACTGCACAGCCATGATCACACACTTGGATTTAGAGAGAATTTTTTTTAAATGCTATCACTGAGAAGTATATTTTTCTTAATTAATTCTGGATACTTCATTGATCATTCTATGAGCTACTTGGAAAAGTAGAAAGGAAAGTCTGTCAAGAAGCTATTTTTTTCCCTTCCATCAAAACAACTAGTGTTATGGATGGAAAAAAAAAAAAAAAAAAAAGTGTTATGGGTGAAATGACAAGAATAATTAAGAAAAATGGCCATGTGCCATATCTCTAAGAGCAAAAATGTAGTTGTTTGCACACTTTTTTTTTTAATATGGCTAAGGCTTCAAGAAAAGATAATGAAGATAACAAATTAAATTTTTGAACCAAGCAACAAATCCTCATTGCAGGAGTTCTGTGACTCTAAGAACCTAATGTTCAATAGGAAACATATTTGAACACTTCTTTGCAGGCATGAAAGCAGATTGTATATTAAAAGTGGTGACCTTGATATATTTTTCACATTTTTATCACTAAAAATCCATAGACATCTTGTTATTTTTAAAAAATAGTCATCTGTACTGCAGCATAAAATAACATGATAGCAAATGGTTTTGTAGTTCATATTATGGTATGTTCATTCTTAGAATTCTGTTTGTTATAAATTGATGCAACTTTATTTTAAGTGGCAGTTGTATTGGATTGCACAGAACAAACTCCTAAGACCTAACCTGACTTATATTGGTTTTATGGTAATATTGTTTACAATCAGCATTATATAAATGAGTTACATGGATGATCTGGGTGCCAAAAAGTCACTTTTTCATGGTCTATGTCTGAAACTCTTTAAAAGCTTCAAAAATATTCCTTCAGTTCAAACCAGACTGTGACATCTTCAAGACTAGAATATTTCCAATGCATTAACTGTGCCAATTCATAAATAGACTTGACTAAGATTTAAGGTCATAATTGTTGTCACAAACATTTTCTTTCCATTCATGTAGACCCAGTCAGATTCAGAAGTGAAGGTACAGAATTGATCATCTAAGAGAAATGTTGTCGTGAAATAGGTCAGGATGTTTTTCAAATGCCAAGTCATAGGTTAGAATGTTTAGGGTGTAGAGAAAATGGAAAATGTGAAAGCAAATTAAATTATCCTTTTCCATCATGAAACATTCAGATGATTTTGATGCAAATTCCTGTAAAACACAAAACACATGATTGAAAAAGGCAGTATGATTTAATGAACTAGGGGTTAAGACCCAGGTTCTAAACCCCAGAACTGCTGTTGATTAGCTGTGTGGCCTTGGGAAAATCACTTAACCTTGCTGAGTTTCACGTTCCTATTCTCTAAAATAGAAATCTACACACCATGTCTAACTTAAGGAGTTGCTGGGTATATGAATGAGAAAATGAGAGAAGTATCTGAAAATAGTTTGAAATAAAGAACTATATGAAAATGTATGATATGATTATTATCATAACCAAAATTTCCTACATGAATAGACTAAGAATTTCTGTATCTTCCTTTATTCTGACATTTTTAATTTCTTTAAATGCAATTCCAATGCTTTTTTGTCTCTCTCTCAATTTTTTCTACTTCCAACTCTGCCACCCTGCCTAGTTCACAATCTGGGCATTCATTTTCATTCTCAGTGTCAAAATGAGTCAGATCCATTACTACTGAAGGTCCAATTTCTTTTGTAGTATGAAAATTAGAGAGGTACTGCCCGGGGCTCAAACATCTTTGTTTTTTTTTATTATTAAAAAGAGAGTTTTTGGTTGCATGCTATTTGTTGTAATGGGATTTGACCTGTATATCAATTAACTGTGCAAAGCATTTATACTATAAAAGCATTTGGGGAAATGAATTGCTATTGTGGATGATAACCATGTCATAGAATTGGTGATTCAAGTCACCAGAGCTTATTCCCGTACCCTTGAAAGTAGTAAGTAGTAAGGAAATTGAAACAGTCTGGTGGCTGAGATGGTGAAGCGTCTGCCTACAGTGCAGGAGACCTGGGTTCAATCCCTGGGTTAGGAAGATCTCCTGGAGAAGGAAATAGCAACCCACTCCAGTATTCTTGCCTGGAAAATCTCATGGATGGGAGAAGCCTGGTAGGCTACAGTTCATGGGGTCGCAAAGAGTCGAACACGTCTTAAGTGACTTCACTTTCACTTTTCCTGATATCCTTATCATATATATTTTAAAAGCTATGGTAACTTGAGCCAACTAATCTACTGTGACAAAAATTCTTTTGCTACAAACATAGAGATAGCCTTTGACATTAATATTCTTTAGACAGGAGATTTAGGCAGACAGATGTCTTCTTCATGCCTACATTATTGGTACATGCTTTGGAATTCCGCAAAACTAGTCCACAGAACTAAACTCCCCTCTGTTTGCCTAAAATTTTGAGGAAGCATTTCCCAGATAAGGTTTGAATATCTGAAACATGTATCAGAGGCTTAACTTTGCTACCAAGTGACCTCCTGTAGCAAAGAAATCTGTGAGAGTCTCACAGATTTTACCAGTAAAGATACTACAATGTGATTGTATCATAACTACAGTTCATCTGTAAAACATAACCCTGTAACCTGAGCCCTGAAGACGTGAAGTCCAGGCTGCAGTCTAATGGGCTGGACTAACTGCCCCCCTCCAGTGTTGTAGAGGAGCACTGATGACAATCAGTGGCTGAATCCAGCCTAGTTCCTGCTACCTAGGTTTGCCCATATAAGAAGTAACTCACTGAAAAATCAGCACCTCTCTCTAGACCAGGATGGGGAGAGGCATGGGAGGGAAGTTCAGGCAGGAGGGGATATAAGTATACTTATAGTTTATTCATGTTGTTGTACAACATAAACCAGCACAACATTGTAAAGCAATTATCCTTCAATTAAAGAAATTTAAAAAATTAAATCAGTAGCTCTATTTATAGATTAGGGACTCATATTGGAAGCCACTGTTTCTTTTCTAGGTCAGTGTGGTCTTAATATATATAGCCTACCCTTCCTGATCATGGGTTCCCTGGTTCCTCTCCTTTACACTTATTTTGGGGCACTTGAATGAAATTCAAAATTTACTAAGACAGCTCTTAGGACCTCCTATAACCTGCAAAGCCTGTACTTTAAAACAGACTATTTCAAATAGCCCTTCCAAGTTTGACAGTATTTGATAGAAGAGTACAGATGATGGAGTTTGGGTTTTGTTTTTGTTGTTCCTGTGCACATGTGCTAAGTTGCTTCAGTCGTGTTGGACCCTTTGTGGCCCTATGAACTATTGCCCACCAGGCTCCTCTGTCCATGGGATTCTCCAGGCAAGAATACTGCGGTGGATTGTCACGCCTTCCTCCAGGGGTCTTCCCAACCCAGGGATCAAACCTATGTCTCCTACAGCTCCTGCATTGCAGACGAATTATTTACCCCTGAGCCAAAGGGGAAAATGTCATTTTATAGGATGCTAGATGATTGAGCCTTGCCCATTCTTTTTTAAAAATTTTTATTGGAGTATAGTTGCTTTATAATATTGTATTAGTTTCTTCTGTACAGCAAAGTGAATCAGCTATATGTATGCATACACATATAGCTCTTTTGAATTTCTTTCCCATTTAGGCTACCATGGAGCAGTGAGAAGGGTTCCCTGAGTTATACAGTAAGTTCTCATTGGCTATCCATTAGTTATCTATTTTGTACATAGTATCAATAGTGTATATACATCAATCTCAATTTCCCAATTCATCTCACCCACCCTCCATTCCCTTGGTCTCCATATGTTTGTTCTCTATGTCTGTGTCTTATATGTCTTATATGTCTGCTTTGTAAATAAAATCATCTATACCAATGTTCTCTATGTCTGTGTTCTCTATGTCTCTCAATGTTCTCTATGTCTGTGTCATATATGTCTTACATGTCTGCTTTGTAAATAAGATCATCTATACCAATGCTGTTTTCAAATTCCACATATATGCATTAATATATGTTATTTTTTTCTCTCTTTCTGATTTACTTCACTCTAAGAAACTGTCACTGGGTTTCCCAGGTGGCTCAGTGGGAAGATGTCAGTGCAGGAGATGCAAGAGACATGGATCCAATCCCTGGGTCCATAAGATTCCCTGGAGTTGGAAATGGCAACTCACTCCAGTATTCTTGCCTGAAAACTTCCATAGACAGAGGAGCCTAGCAGGCTAGGATCCATGGGGTCGCAGAGTCCGACACGACTGAGCGACTAAGAACAACAGTCTGTCATACAGAGCCCTGCCTATTCCTAGTTCAGTAACTCACTGAAACTGCAAGCAATAAAGCCAAAATTGTATACTCCCATGTAAACTGTAGCATATTGGAGGGGAAGTGTTAGGAACAAGATCTCTAACCCAGATTATTAATGAATACTCTTAAATCTTAAATGAAAGCAACACTTTTATTAGTTTAGACAGATCATGGATTCATTTCCTTTTTGCTGAGGGCTCTTATTTATTCAATTCTTGATAACCCCAGTTCCTTAGAAAAGTGCATTTCTGACAGAAATTGGATTATACTAGGAATGTAGTTTATTGCTGAGTATTCAACTTTCCAAAAGTACATACCTGGGTTTCATGGTGCATTTCAAGAAGCCATAATGATGGAACAATGCTAATCAGATATAAAAATATGGCTGGTGAAAACCTGTGAATGAGGGAAAAAAATAGTTCAGCTTTTATAATTTTTTTTAAAAGAAAACAAGTGCACATACCATGACCACACTGAGTTAAACCTTTTAATCTCAAGTATTTATTTCAAAGGGGAAAAATACATTATGTGATTCCTGCCATATGGATTATGGAGAAACAAAGCAACTGTAAAAGGCACTAGCAGCTGTCATTCTCACTGAATTTCTAATCCAATTAATAGATGTTAATTTTAATACGGTTTAATGGGACACTGCCAATTAGTCTCAGGCACAAAACTGGATATTTTGAGTTTAATATGAAAGCAACAGTAAATCTTGATTTCTGAACACTGTAATTTCGGGAAGGTTGCCTACATTTTTCAACATTAACCTGAAATTCTGAGAGCTCAAATAATAACATTCTGCTAGAAGACAAAAATCAGACGATAAGGAATAGGGCTAAACAAAATCAACTGTCTTTGTGTGTTTCTGCTAAACCTAGGAAAAACAAAAATACAGGCACATCTCATTTTATTATGCTTTGCTTTATTGAGTTTCATAGATACTGTGTTTTTCTTTACAAATTGAAGGTTGGTGGCAACCTTGCGTGAAGCAAGTTTGCCAGTACCATTTCTCCAACAGCATTTGCTCAATTTGTGTCTTTGTGTCACATATTTTAAATTTTCTGACTATTATTGTGATCTGTGATCAGTAATCTTGGATGTTACTTCTAAGATTCACTGAAGACTCAGATATAGCTAGCAATTTTTAACAATAAAGCATTGCTTAATTAAGCTTTGTTCATTGTTTTTTTTTTTTATAGTATCAAACTTTGAAAAAGCCTAAGTTTATTTTTTTAATGTAATTTTTTTTATTATATTGTAGTGGTTTTTGCCATACACTGACATGAATCAGCCATGGATTTACATGTGTTCCCCATCCCGATCCCCCCTCCCGCCTCCCTCTCCATCCCATCCCTCTGGGTCTTCCCAGTGCACCAGCCCTGAGCACTTGTCTCATGCATCCAACCTGGGCTGGTGATCTGTGGTGGGAATGCAAACTAGTACAGCCACTATGGAGAAGAGTGTGGAGATTCCTTAAAAAACTGGAAATAGAACTGTTCATTGCTTTTTAACACATAATGCACACTTAATAGACTATGGCCTATTGTAAGTATACTTTTTTTTTTTTCCATTTATTTTCATTAGTTGGAGGCCAATTACTCCACAACATTGCAGTGGTTTTTGTCATACATTGAAACGAATCAGCCATGGATTTACATGTATTCCCCATCCCATACATGTTTTGATGCTGTTCTCTTGAAACATCCCACCCTCACCTTCTCCCACAGAGTCCACAAGTCTGTTCTGTACATCTGAGTCTCTTTTTCTGTTTTGCATATAGGGTTATCGTTANCACAAGGAAAGAAAGAGATTTCTCTCTTCTCTACTTATGAAGCCACCAGTCTTAGTGAATTAGGACCCCATCCTTATGACCTCAATTAACTCTACTGACTTCCTAAAAGCTCTGTCTCTAAATATAGTTACTCTGGGACTTACGGTTTCAACGAATGAATTTTGAGGCAACACAGTTCAGTCCACAGCAGTCACATTTATCTCACAGGGATTTTTATTATATAGTTGACCCTTGAACAACATGGAGATGAGGACTCTCTGTGCAGTTGAAAATCCACATATAACTCTTGAGGTCAACCCTCTATATCCACAGTTCCACATCTACAGATTCAACCAACCATGGGTCATGGGGTACTGTAGTATGTATTTATTGAAAATAAGATGCATGTAAGTGGACTTGCACAGTTCCAACTCATGTTGGAACTTTCTATAAAGCAGAGTTGTACATTCTGTAACAAGTAACTGTTACATAATTATGGGATGTCATGCAATGAAAACACATCCTTCAAGATTTGAACTAAGATAAAAATTACATACTTTACAAATTTATTTCTTCCAATTGCATTTGATTTTAGATTGGACTCTTGCTTTATATATCATCTTAAAGTCAAAACTGTAAGTCAGTGTAATTTTATTAAAATACTTTTAGTACATTCATGTGATGGTTTAAGATGACCTGAAAACAGAAATGTTAATTGCTCAAAAACAGGATTTGAGATGAAATTCTACTAAAATCATATGGTTATAATCCGGGGGAGGAGAAAGGGAGTGAACAAAGTTAAATGGAGGAAAACATTTAGAATGGACTGTTTAAATGCTGTTAACCTTTTCACTAATATCTCCTTTCAACTTCTGGGAAGAGAAAGGGAAAGGGCAAGTGAAAGCAATTCTTAAAAAAAAAAAAAAAATCAGTATTTAAATAGACATTACCCTACCATCAATTTCCTGCAGAAATTAATTTGAAACAAAGGGTTATGGGTTATGATATTATTAGAATCTGACTTAGACAAAGGTTGGGCTGCAGAAAGATATCCAAGGCCCCCATGTCAAACACGCTTTTAGAAAGAAAAAGAACACTTAATTCTTTGACCTCCCATATCAACGGAAACATCAGGAGAGAATATTTCCTTTATGAAATTGGGAAAGGATATGAATTCTGGTTGGAGGGACAGTTGGAATATGTAAATCTTTGTTTGCATATGTCAAATGTTGGCTGGACTGCAATTTTGTTGACTCTCTCAGGATTAATTTTGGGTTAACTCGCCTGGCAATACTGTTAAAATAATAATCTAGGGAAACTATATACTGAACATATCATAGTTCTTGGAAGAGTTCAAGAATAAAATAAACAATAACCCTTAACATCTTCTGTGCATGAAATTTATTTCTACAGTTGGAAAAAAGACTATCCTGTTTCAACATGTTTCCTCTAATTAGGAATCTAGTTATGTATTTTAAAAATACATTCAAAATCCGGGATTTTCTCTGTTGCCTATTACAAAGACTATACATTCCCTAAACAGATACATATTCAAAGCCTCCTCCATTCCTCAGGTTATCTCCACTTCCCTTTTCTCTACCACATCCTATCAAGCTGACAGGATGTTTCCGTAGTTTCAACTTGCTGTGTATTTAAAATGAAACAAAACAAAATGTTTTGGAAAGCTCCCCTTGTCCCATTCCCTCTTCATCAGACCTATTTGACATCTGTGAAAGAGAGTGGGAAGAGGGAATCACATTAACTGCCTGAGAATTAATCATATTCAAGTCAACAGCATGAGTCCATTGTCTTCCTCCTCCTCCACCCCCTGTTCCCGACCCTCTTAACCCTATACCTAAGAGAATTTGTTGGAATGTCCAAAGGCTTCCAGGTAGAATTACCAAGGAAATGCCTAGTCCACAAAATGATCAATAGCAAATCAGAATTAGGAACTTCCTCACTTCGCTCCTCTCTCTCTCTCCAGTAGCAGGCTATGGTCGTCATTCAACTGATTTTTTTTTTTTTTAAATTATAGAGAAAATAAAAGTCTGTTATTTAGAAAAGTACTGAAAGGTATAGATACATTGCATTTTTTACATGAAGAGTACATTTCAGCCCTATGTTTAATTGGACCATGGGCCCCTATTAAGAGCAAAGGACTCTATTTTCCCTTCAGGTTGGTCCATCTGAAAAGAGAGGTTCTGATGTGAATTTTAGAGCAAATGTCCCTTCAAATTATGACTACTCGTTTCAGAAAGCCCTGCTCTTATATCTCTATCAGTACCCTTCCTATATTTTGAAATACAGGAATTCAGTGCAGTAATTAACTTTAACTTGTATTTCTCTTGTGACCCAGCACGTTCTCCACTGTTTTCTTGTGCATATTTATAATATGACTTGGCAGATCCTGAGTCTCTTTATGTCCCTTCCCTCTTCCATCTCCTTCATCTTTTCCTCTCCTCAGTAGTCTCAAGTGTCTTTTTAAATCTCTGTTGTTGTTGTTCAGTTGCTAAGTCATGTCTGATTCTTCGCGAACCCATGGACTGCAGCACGCCATGCTTCCCTATCCCTCACTATCTCCCAGAGTTTGCCCAAGTTCATGTCCATTGAATCAGTGATGCTTTCCAACCATCTCACCCTCTGCTGCCCTCCTTTCCTGATCTTTCCCAGCTTCAGGGTCTTTTCTAATGACTCGGCTCTTAACATCAGGTGGCCAAAGTACTGAAGCTTCAGCTTCAGCATCAGTACTTCCAATGAATATTCAGGGTTGATTTTCTTTAGGATTGACTGATTTGACTTCCCTGCTGTCCAAGGGACTCTCAAGAATCTTCTCCAGCACCACAGTTCAAAAGCATCAACTGTTCACACTCAGACTTCTTTATGGTCTGACTGTCACATCAGTACATGACTACTGGGAAGACAATAGCTTTAACTATACGCACACTTTGTTAGCAAAGTGATGTCTTTGCTTTTTAATATGCTGTCTAGGCTTGTCACAGCTTTCCTTCTAAGAAACAAGTATCTTATAATTAATATTCAGGGTTGATTTTCTTTAGGATTGACTGATTTGACCTCCCTGCTGTCCAAGGGACTCTCAAGAATATTCTCCAGCACCACAGTTCAAAAGCATCAACTGTTCACACTCAGATTTCTTTGTGGTCTGACTGTCACATCAGTACATGACTACTGGGAAGACAATAGCTTTAACTATACACACACTTTGTTAGCAAAGTGATGTCTTTGCTTTTTAATATGCTGTCTAGGCTTGTCACAGCTTTCCTTCTAAGAAACAAGTATCTTATAATTTCATGGCTGCAGTCATCCTCCACAGTGATTTTAGAGCCCAAAGAAGAGAAAATAGATCACTGCTTCATCTTTTTCCCCTTCTATTTGCCATGAAGTGATGGGACCGGATGCCATGATCTTAGTTTTTTCAATGTTGAATTTTAAGCCAGCTTTTTTCACTCTTTTCTTTCACCTTCATCAAGAGGCTCTTTAGTTCCTCTTTGATTTTTGCCATTAGAGTGGTATCATCTACATATCTGAGGTTGTTGATATTCTCCCGGCAATCTTGAATCCAGCTTATAACTCATCCAGCTCAGCATTTTGCATGATATACTCT